AAAAAGAATAAACTGTGATACATGTATATTGAATAAAAACATGTAGAGTAACCATCATGTAATCCAATTTAAAGGATGTTTCACAAATTTATGAAAACCACTCCAATAGGGAATTTATTTACTAACACTCACTCAGTGGGGTGAAAACATATTTTTACCATTTCTTGTCTAAATTCTCTTGACCCTTCTCTTCGCCTTCCCTCCATTGGTTCATTGTCATGTGTATTCTTGGATCTTTTTTCATCATTTCTCACTCCTCGACTTCTATGAACTCTCCTTTCAGGACTTCTATGTCTATCCTCATCATAATCTTGTCTTGAATGATGACTATCATCATCCCATCTTTCTTTGCCTTCTAGAGTGCTTCTGTTTTGCTTATCTCTATATTTGTCATGGGACACATTTTTGTTATGTCTAGATTAAAAAAAAAATAGTAATTAGTATTTCTGATCATGTAGTGTGTTTAATAAATTGATATAGATTCCTTTTCATGTGTTTGTACTCTTATTGATGCACATATAGCAACAACATGATTATGAGAACAAAAAAGTATCCCAGGAGACAAAACCTGTGGTGTGACTGTTGATATTATTTACATTTTGATGCTTTCAATGAATCTGTTAGATCACAAAAGCATGGAAAAGTTGAATCTACTTTGTTATATATTATAATAATAGTGGTCATATTTCGCTTAAAATATTATTATTATGTACAAGGATGTGTCCACAACTGAAGATGACTCATAGTCGAAAACGTTTTTAATTTCATAACACTATCTAATATATTTTCATCCTTGTACATAATTATAATAATAGTATTGGTGAATTTTTTCCCAGAACATATAATTTTATTAAAACAATGTGTCCAAAACTGAAGATGACTCATAGTCGAAAACGTTTTTAATTTCATAACACTATCTAATATATTTTCATCCTTGTACATAATTATAATAATAGTTTTCTTGAATTTTTTTCCAGAGCATATAATTTTATTGAAACAGTTCAACAAACACAAAACTGACTGCATAGTCGAAAACGTTTTTAATTTCATAACACTATCTAATATATTTTCATCCTTGTACATAATTATAATAATAGTTTTCTTGAATTTTTTTCCAGAGCATGTAATTTTATTGAAACAGTTCAACAAACACAAAACTGACTGCATACTATTTCTGCATAAACCAAGCACATCTAAGATTTAATGGCATCATCCATGCATGTGTACTTACACACGGTTCTTGACTAATCCGAGAATCCATAATAAATTTATCAACATACATGGACAGTTTACAAATATGTGTCTAAATCAAAACTAATATCAATCCATTATCAAACTCTACATGTATATTTTGCACAAKATCCACTTTTTGTCCATGCAAGACAGCTTGTGTGAAGTCCGTAATTTAACGATTATCATTGCTTATTCCATTAGTACGCTTAGATATACACTTTTTAAGTGAATAAATATCCTACGAGAAAACTTTAATAAGTCACTTTATACATTTTATAATAAGCTTAAAGCTTAAGTTCATGTCCACGATGCTTGCATCAACTACACATTTTTTTCATTTGAATACCTTTCATGGCGGACATTTTCACGTCTTCCTCGTTCTCTTCTATCCACAGGCGACCTTGATCTCTCCCGCCTTCGACTCATATTGAACTGATTATTGCTTTATGCTCTTTAGGTATAATTTAGTCTTGTTCAATGCACAGATCTGATGGGGAAAACGTTTTCATACTTTTAATCCGCCATTTTTAAAATATGTAGCCAGGCCTCCACTGTTTCAGAGCGACTAGGCTCTAGGCCTTCTCTAGGCCTCGTCCCCAGGATCTTTTGGCTCGGTCTTTTTCGATTTCACAGGAGGAGCAGATGGGGTGTGTTCTTCTAAATACAGTGTAGCTGTGTTCCCGGGGAAGGGATTTTGAGCTACATTGTTGACAGTTTCACAAGCAAATCTGGCGGCCTTCCTTCTCTAAGGGACTGTGCAATAATTACCAGGAGGGTAAAGATATTCTTATATCTTATATATGTTCAAGATATGCTTAAAAACTATCGTCCTTCTCGTTGTCTTCGTTCGTCGTCTCAACTGTTACTGTCTTCCAAGTCTTACAATCTTAAAAGTTATGGTTATCGTTCCTTTAGTGTTGCTGGACCTTTTCTATGGAATTCACTGCCATCTTCAATCAGAGACATTTCTTCTCTTGACAATTTTAAAACTGCTCTAAAAACCTTCCTTTTTAAACAAACTTATGATCTGTAACTCTATTTT